TTCAGTTCTTCAGTCATACTCAAGTCTTCAATCGGCATGTGTTGCTAGTGGCAATTGCAGTGGACAGTACAGATATAACACATTTCCGTCATCACAGAAAGTTCTGTTAGACATTGCTCCTCTAAAAAAGATTATCAGAACGAAAGAAGCCACACCTATTTGCTTGGAAACGCAGAGTGTTTAATGGGCTTCGCTGACTGTTGTTACGTAAAAACTCCAAATACGCAGTTCGGCGTCCCTTTTGTCTGAGATAAGCAAATTCATTCATCTGTTCATTCATTCATTCACTTATTCAACACACATTTACTGAGCACCTACCATGTTCCAGACCTGTGCTACGTTCTGGGGATAAAATGATGAACACAGGGACACAACAGCCCCCGCCCTCCAAGAGCTCACAATCTGATGGAGGATGTGATGTTTTTGGGTGGTGCTCTGAGGAGGAACAGATGTGGGGAGGGGAGAAAGGAAAGAGAAAGAGTTTCATTTTGGACCTGAGCCTGCAAACATCTGAGAGTACATGAGGGGCTGGAGTTCAAGTGCAAGGTCAGGGAAGACAGACTTAGAAATCATCAGCCTCAAGGTGGTCATTAAACAAAGAGCCTGCTTGAGCTCATGCAGGGGGTGTGTGCAGAGTGAGGAGAGAATCCACCAAGGACAAAACCAACTCCAGGAAATGCCAACATACCAGGGGCAGGTAGAGAAACAGGGCCAGTGAAGGAGCCTGAGAAACCACCTCAGAGGATCATCACAAGGAAGTGGGGTCACCAAAATCAAGGGCCAGGAGTGTTGATTGAAGCAAAGAGGCCAAAAAATGTAAGGACTAGTAGGTACCCACTAGAGCTGATCTTGGTAAGAGGCATTTTAGTGGAGAAGCAGGAGTGGGAGCCAGTCTGCAGTGGAACCAAGAAGAAATGGAAGGTGAAACAAGGCCGATAATAACTATACAACTAAAAAAAGTATTCAGCTTTGAAGATTATGATCCAAGAGTCCCCACCATTTTTATTGATTGCACTTAAGAAGGCAGTGGGTGGAGAAATGTCAAGGATCTGGGATGAAGAAGTAATAATGGACGAAGCGAAGTCTGGGGGCCACGGGAGGGGCAGGGGCCCAGAGCCCAGGTGGAGAGTCAGCTGTGGAGGGGGAGAGGGACTCGCAGCCCACTGGTCTGAGAGGGAAGGAGGGAAAGAGGAGCATAGACACAGAGCACAGTTTGCTGAAGATCAATTTTGGAAGATGAGATGGGAAAAAGACCATGCATATGGGGCAATGACTAGTGCCTTGGCAGACGACAATGACAAAGAAGGAAAGAAGGTTTTCGTGGGAGGTTTTTTATGAGGGTGGAAGAGTGATAATTTGAATGTGCCAGCTAGTTCCCTGAGAGAATGTCAGTGCTGTCCCTAAGCCCGTGGTATGAGAGCTTGAAAGAACTGTCAGTTTTCCTGTAAAAACCTTCTAGAAAGGAGAGTGTCCCCAAAGAAGACCCACTGTCAGGTACATGTATTCTGTGAGAAGGTGGCCCATTTGCAGAGTTTTCAGCCACTGGACAGGGTTCCGAGGGAGACAGTGGGTCATCCTGGGGACGAAAGGGTGAAGATGAAGGGGCTACGGTCTCAGGCAGAGGTAACAAATATGGGACCTGCCGGGATCTCTTGACTTCAAGACACTAGGCAGAGCTCTAGGGTCAGCGGTAACCCCAGGTCATGTAGAAGTCTTGGTGACATCCCCAACTGAACCACTTTGTTCCTGGATCTCCTAAAACATTGGTGAGAAATGTGCAGTCTCAGAAGATAACAGGGCACCAGGCCAATGTTGGGATTGGTTGATTCCCAAGACGTCACTTCTCAGATGGAAATCATGAAGCCTGCAGGAGACGAGGATAAGTCATTTTCGGAGAGATCCCAACCCAGGCCTGGAGGAGTCCAGATTAGAGTGCTCCCTCTGAAGAGGAGAAGCCCCCAGGGCATGAACAAAGAAAGAAATTGTGCAAGCAGAAGGAACAATGATTTAGTACTGAGATGGAGCTTCACAGGGGACAATGATGAAGTCTGAGCTGGTAAAGACCACCCAGGCACGTGTAACCAAATAAAGTCCCCAAGGGCCAATTTGGCTAGACCCATGATCACCGGGTATGTGCTTTTCCAAGTTTCTCTCTCAGCTTCACCCTGAGAGTGAAGCTTTTCCATCCTACTAGGCAAATGGACAGAAAAATCTCAGATGCTGTCCAAGTAGCCCCCAACTCCCAGGGAGCCACAGGGCTTGGTCATGAAAGTGGAGAAGGGAACATTCCCTCTCTGTGTGTTCCAGAAATATTTCTAGAACTATACTTGAAAACCAGATGTTAATGGAAGCCTCAGGTGGTCTGGGCAAGGCCCTCACCTCTCTCTGCATATGCACATTCTGAAGAGGTTTCCGTTCTCCGAGTAGAACCTAAACGGCCCAGACACAGCCCCGTCTTCACCACACCACACCAACCTGAGGGAACTGGACACCTCCCATCCTAGTCAGCCAGATCTGAATATTCCAGACCCCAGGTGAGACCAGCAGCCCCAGAGACACCTGCACAGATGGGGGAGCCGCCACCTGAGACTCCAGGCATCTGCTACCCTCAGCTCAGACGTCACCCCCTCCGTGATATCCATGTGCACACACACACACCCCAGACACACGCCGCCCTCTGCACTCCCCTCCATATAGTTCACCACTGCATTTAATTACACTGTGCTTTAAATGTTTGCTTAGTTTGCTTCCCCACCCAACTACATTTAAAGCTCCTTTATTGCGTGCTAGGGCCGAGCATCCAATAAATATTTGCAGGAGTTGGGCTGGCCTGGGACAGAGTTAACTTGAAGTGAATTCAGTTGAATTGAACCAAAATGACCCTGGGGAACACAGGGAAGAACATTCCCACAGCAACAAGGTTGAACATTACCTCAATTTCCTCATCAAGGGTCCCCCCCTAAATATACCACGTCCAGAACCTCTCCCCAGTTTCCCGCCACATTGCCCCTCTCCCGCCAGGCAGGTCCTCATTGCTTCTTATGGAACAGAGCCGGAGCTGGCTCATTGCTGGGCTCGGCCATGACCTGCATGGGCTGGTTGTTCAGGGCAGCCTCGCGCATCTTGTGGTACATGAACTCGTTCTGGCGGAACATGCGCAGCTCCATCTCTGTCTGCACCCGCATGGCCTGTGGGACACAGGTACAACAAACATGTTGGTCTCTGACC